TGGGATGGCGCCAGGCTCTGAGCCACAGGCACCTCCTCCCTGGGGCGGGCATGAACACCCCCTCCTGCAGGCTCCTCCCCAGTGAGAGAGCCCCTCCCCCTCCTGCAGGCTCCTGGACCAGAACCTGGCCCATTATTTCCTCTCACTGCCAACTGGCCCCTTCCTGGCAGCTGATGGACACATGCAGTCTCTATAAAAATGGATCAAACACCCCTCCCTTAGCACTGTGTCCTCTCCAGCTGCCACTCTGGCTTCCCTACACTCACAGCCAAACCTCTTAGAAGACTGGCTGGCATTCACTGTCTAGCCTCCTACCAGTGCCCTGTGACTGCCATTCCCAGTGGCTGCGCAGATGAGGGGCACATGGACCCTGCCACACCCAATGCAAATGACCAGTGTCCCCAGCACTTTGACCTCCCTGTGGCATAACCAACACTTCTACCTCCTGGGTCTCCTCTGGCCTCTCTGACTGTCCCTTCTCCTGCAGGGGTTGGCCCTGTCTCTCTTCTCACAACCCCCTCTCCCGGCCTCTGCAGCCCCAGCCAGGAGATGGTTAGGTTCCTCCCTGCCCCACCCTGCCAGACTTCAGACTCAGCCACCTCACACTGACCTGGTTATCACTCCCAATGACCCTCCTTCTGTGGCTTCAATCTGAATGGCAGTCCCAACCCCCAAGCTACCCAAGCAGCAAGGAGACCCCTCCGCTTCTACACACAGGACCTCCATCCTAATAGATGACCAAGTCTGGTCCATTTCACTTGTTCAACATCCCTCGTGCACAGCCCCTCCTGTCCTGGCTCTTGTCTTACCCTCATTCAAAGCATCACCAAGCTTGAAATTCTTCCACAGTTCCCACTGCTGCTGCCCGTACTCCATGGATCCGTGTCTTCTTGCCCAGGACCATGTGCAGAGTGCAGCTGGGACACACTCTGCAGACTCCCAGCTCAGGGTCTTGCTTTCTTTTGAGGTGTCTTAATCACCCTGCCTGCCATGGAACACGTCCTTGGTTAAGCTCAAGTGTTTTGTGTGAATTCTCTAACACACGACAACCCTTTGTGGTAGGGACCATGACCAGCCCCATTTTGCAGCCCCATTTTGCAGGGAGGAAGTTGACTAAGGGGGATTAAGTAACTTGCTAAAGACCACCAGAGGCACTGAAATGGACAAAGAGCATGATCTGAACCCAAACCCAGCTACCCTGAAGTCCTCATTCTCCACCCCCTGCTATCCTGCCTTCTGGGATGGAACCACAGACATGAGTCAGAGCCACCTTCACTCAAGGGTGGCAACCATAGGGAAGCACAGGTGATTTCGGGTTTCCAGGGCAGAGCACAGGGCTCCCAGGCCAGTTCCGCACACTGTGGACCCCATCACAGGTGTGGCCAGTGCAAGAGCGAGGGACAAGGAGCTCAACCTTGTGTCCTGGTTAGCGGCTTCCAACATGAGGCTCTGAAGCCTAGGGACAGGAGGCCAGCCTGACCACCAGGGTGGGTGGTGACGCTAGACTGCACGGTTACTGGGACTCTCCTAGGAAGAACACCATTTTCGAAGTTTTGGTAAATAAATGAAATGCATTGTTTTTGTGTTTTCATTTCTTTCCAGGTCACACTGGCCTGGGGATAACAGATGCCTGATCCTTTGAAATCTCCATGCTACAAAGACCCAAACAGAAAAACCTGAGGAGAAATGGGGCAGCCATCTTCAAACGACAGAGGCTGCCTTGTGGGGGGTGTGGGCACCAGGGCTGGGTGGACGTTCTGGGGAGGCCCACTTCCTTTCAGGGGAGGGCAGACTTTCCAAAAACCCAGGCTGTTCATCAAAGGAGAGCCCCCCTCAACCAGGGGAGGAGCTCCCTTAAGAGGCAGTGGCTCCCTGTCACAGGCAGTGTCCTCAGAGCTACAGGTGATCCAGCACAGGTCACCTCTGGACCTTCCAAGCCTGAGAAGGTGAAGGCACCTCTGGGAGCCTTCCAAGCCTGAGGCCCTACTACAGGCAGCTAGAGTTTGCTGAAGAGCTACCCAATTTCAGGATTCTGCCTCAAGAACATAAGCCATCCAAAATGACAGTAAGAATACTATTCCAGAAGATACCCAGCCTCAGGTGTGTGAGAGTGGGGGGGGGGGCAGATAAGAGGTGCAGACACAGTTAATTGGGTCTCTGCTAAAACTGAGCCAAGTCAGTGGTAAGTGCATCCTCCACACAAGACCCTGCCACCAAGCCCATGGAGATGTACCCCACCCCGGTCCCCCCAGATGAGAAGAAGCTGGCTGCCCGGCCCCACCCCTGCAGGTGCCCCAGCATTGCCCTCTAGACACTCGCCAGCAGGTCCCCCCGTTGCTGCAGGCGCAGAACTAAACCAGGAGGTTAGAACTTGGGAAGCTTAGGATCCCCGAGGAACCGAGGCCAAGATCACAGGGCCAAGGAGCAGTCCCAAGTGCTTGGACACTGGACATCTTGAATCAGCACCCTTATATATTCAAAATGGGCACCAGAGTCCCCTGCTCTCTGTCAGACACTGCGGGTCTGGGGAAATGCAAAGGTTAATGACATTGCCTTCCCTAAGTTTCAGGAGAAAGACACAGAACCGAGAACAGGGTAGCTAGCCCTGGTGGCGCAGCGGTTTAGTGCCGCCTGCAGCCCGGGGTGTGATCCTGGAGACCCGGGATCAAGTCCCACATCAGGCTTCCTGCATGGAGCCTGCTTCTCCCTCTGCCTGTGTCTCTGCCTCTCTCTTGCTCTCTCTGAATGAATAAATAAATAAATCTTTAAAAAAAAAAAAAAAAAAAGAACCGAGAACAGCAATATAGCTGGGCCGGATACATCCGAGGGACCTGCCTGTAGGAACAAGCCTCCCACACTGACTATGGGGACCTAAGCTATTCCCACGTCCCTCAGGCAGGAGAAGGCCCAGCTCTAGGTGGAAATAGCCCTACTGGAAAGATAAGGGGACAGTGGGAGCCAGGGACCGCTGACTCCCCGCGTGACAGGGCCCCAAGGCCACAAGGCACAGCTCCAGCAGGCTGAGGGTGCAGGCAAACCCCAAGCCAGGGAAGGGCGAGGGGGGTCCAGCCTCCTGCAGGTCTAGGTGCCCACCTGGTGGACCCACCTGGTGCACGGATGAGCCCAGCTGGAAGTGGGGGGAGCAGAGGTCACAGGAAGGCCACCAGTTTCCATTTCTCAAACACCTACCCTGGACTCTCAGAGTCCAGAAAAGTGGGTGATGTGACTTCCATCCTTCACATGGGGAAACTGAGCCTGGAGAAGCTGTCACTAACTCAGGGTCATGCAGGCTGAAGGGTCTGAGCCAGGACTCGATGCCACTGCTTTCACATAGTTTCTCCAAACTGTGAGTTCCGGGCCATGAAGAGTGGCCAAAGGAAGCAATGTCCTCTGCTACCCGTAACTAGGGCGCCATAGATACTGGGTATGAGCCGGGCCCCAAGGGTGCTGAAGGACATGGTGGCACTGCCCCAGGCTGGGCTGGGCCAGGCCAGGTCCTCCCTTTCCTCTTGGGCCTGGGCGACATCTTCCCCCAGGGCAGGGGCATACATAGCAAATGGGCTCCCTCCAGATGAGGACGTAGGGCTGCAGAGGGATGGAGGGCATCCTGGGCCCCATGGCTGGTTTGGGGCAGGGTGGGACCTGGCCTGGGGCCTGGATGGTGACTCTTGGCCTCCGTCAGTTCCTAAGCCTGTCCCTCCTGCCTGTGCTGGGTCCTGCCTGGGGCTGGCTGGACAGCAGTCTGGATCAAAAGCCACCAGTTCCACGTAGATCCAGCCCTGTAAAGGAAGCTGTCTGGTAGAGTCTGACACAGCCCTCTGAGCACACATTCTGTCTGAAAGCCTGCAACCCCCGGAGACTAGAGAGTGCTCTGGTCATCGACAGCCTGGAGCCATCCAGGCCCACCCCAGGGCCCCTGACACCTCCACCCCTGCCTCTGCAGCCACCCCACCCAGAAAGCCTCATAACAACAGAGAGGAGATTAGTGTTTCCGGCTTACAGAGCACTCCCCATCTTGTCCTCCCAGCAAAGGTGCTCCAGACAGAGAAAGGTTGCAGGGCTGGCCAAAGACATGCTGTGGGAAGAGGTCCTGGCTGAGACTCAACCCAGTTTTTCTGACCGAGCTCTGGTCTTTGTCAATGTGTTGCCTGCGGCCCAGATGTGGATCTAGCAGCCCTCTTCCAGCCAAGGGACCGGGATTATATCCAGACTCACATGCATGTGAGGAAAAGCGTCTGGAGCAGGTCAGTTGGCAGGGCAGGGCAATGGGGGGACCCTGGTGTCCCAGGAAGAGGATGCAGATCTATGGACTCCTGCCTGCCCTTCCCGGCCCAGAGGGCCCCTGCCCCCGTCCACCAGACTGGAAGGGCACCCAAAATCTCTATGGGAGCTGAGTCACCTCTGAGCGGAGGAAATGGCAGCCCCCTCGCCCACATCAGACTTGTATTCTACCTAGAAAATGACTCCTTCCCCGCCTTCAGGGTTCAATGGGGGTAGAGTCTACACCACTCAGAACTACAGACTGCTGGTGCATTGTGAGAGTACAGGTGCATGCAAGGGGACACGGGACAGGTCTGCCTCAATGGGGGTCAGCGGCTCAAGCTCTGAAAAGGTCCAGCAAGAGGCAGAAAAGGCAAAGGAACTCCTGAGGCCTTCTCTCTTTTTATTTATTTATTTATTTATTTATTTATTTATTTATTTATTTATTTATTTTTTATTTTTATTTTTTTTTCTGAGGCCTTCTCATAGTGCAGGAGTGCTGGGTAAGGATCCTGGCGAGGACTGCCCGCCAAATCACGAAGCCATGTTTGCTTCTGCGACCTCCAAACAAAGAGGCTGTCATAGCTGTTCTAAAGTCACAGGGAAGCCCCAGATCCCCCCTTCATGAGGGTCCAAACTGGAAGGGAAGAACCATGATCACACCTCCTGCACACTCATGCAAGCCACCTCCCAGGGGCAGGCATGGGCACTGCACCAGGAGGGCAGGGGCCAGCACCTACCTGGACTTCCCGTGTGTGGTAGGCGATGATCAAACCCAGAAGGATGATGGTAGACAGACTGATAAGGCATTTCAGGGCCAAGGAAAACATGGAATCCTGCAGGAGAAACGGAAAGGGAATTAGGACAGCCAGGAATGGGGCCAGCAAGGGGCTCTGCCAAGGGGGAGGGGGACAGGGGCGCAGTTACCAGCCCTCCCTTGGGGTCACCAGCCCTCTTTTGGGCTGGGCCTGGGCCCAAGCAGCCCCCTCAGCCTCTGTTTTCTAGAGTTAAAGCTTATTTGCATTCCTGGGATGGAGGCTGCTGGGCAGGACACCTTGCATTCGCTCTCCGTGGCTATTTGTTGATGGAGCGTATAGGACTTTGCCTCCATGCTCATACGTCATATGAACATAATTCCTTTTTGTGCTATTATATGGTTAGGGCATCAGTATCGCGCCAGCATGGGCCTGTCTTTCCCTGAACAGACCTGACCCAGCGGATCCTTCCATCTCTGCCAGTGCAGGGTTTTCTTAGGCATGAATTCGAACGTCCTGGCAGGTGCACTAATCCCCCATTTTAGGTCAAGAACAGGGAGGGATCAGGACGGCAGAAGAGCTGCTGGGGAGCAAGGGGGTCCCCCCTGTGGGGGGAGGGCAGGCGGGGGAGTCCCCAGGGTTCCCTGCATCTTCCAGCCCCAGTGCAGCACAGAGAACTCCGGGGCTCCTGGCTATGTGACCTTAGGCTGCTCCCTCCACATCTCTCTCTCTCTGCCTCAACTGTCTAATGTGTCTAGGGTGGGTAACACCAGTGCCTGCCTCAGAGGGTTGCCGGGAAAAATCAAGGCCAAGTCCCTAGACCAGGGCTTGGCCATGGGAGTCATGGCTGCTTCCGTCACTCACTTGGCATCCTCTGCAGGTTCAGGGTGTCCAGACCAGGACACAGTGCCCTGCTGGGCATTTGGAAGCCAGGAAGTTGGGACGACTCAGGGCCCAAGGGAAGATGAGAATGCAGCCTGAACTCCTGAGCACTCACTCCCCTGAGCCTGAACTCCCCTATACACACATACAAGCAACACCCCGTGCTCATGCACTGCTGCTCATAATCACACCTGATTTCTGTAAAGCACCTTATAGCTTACGAGGTTTCACATAGTTGCTCTCATCCACCCTCACAACAGCCCTTGGCCTCTATCCCAACCTCACAGACTTTACGGGACAAGGCTCTGGGGCAGGTGGCCTGTGCCAGAGTTCAAAGCCAAGGTCTCTGACGCGAGCCTTGCCCAGAAGCCCTCAAGCTTGCTCTGCGAAGGTCGTACCCACTTAAGCAGATCTGAATGACAGCTCAGGACAGTAATGGAAAGTATTTCCAAGGCAGGATGCAATGAATTGCCAAGTGACGCCAACAGCAGGGCGGGGGGGGGGGGGGGCTGGATGGAAGGAGTCCCCGAAAGCACTCAGGGCAGAGCGATAGGCGGCTCAGGTCAGCAGGGTTAGGTGGTAGGATCCAGCGAGGCTAGCTCTGGAATGAGGAGAGGGCTTGGACCTGCAGATACCCAACCCCATGCTCCACCCCCTACCCCCGCTCCCCCCAGGTGGAGACAAGGAAGAGCCTCTCCCTGGGGTCTGTCAATCCAACATTCATTTATATGATACAATTCCTGGGCGGGGTCCCCTTTGTGCCAGACAAAATTGTGCTGGGGCCCAAGGGGCAATGGATGAAATTGTTTTCATGAAGTTTCAAGCCCTTCCCACTGCTTGAGCACCAATGGGACGTGCTAGAGCTACCGGATGTTTGGAGAGTGCCCTGCCTACCAGGAGCTTCCCACCTGGCTCACGCACAAGCCCCAACTCTGTGGCCCGTGTGCGGGTTCATCCAAGGCAGGGAGGGAGGTCTCCATTCTGCACACAACAGTCTATACCTGAGCCAGCTTTTGCTGAGCCTCCATAGTCCACCAGGTGATGAAGCGCAGCCTGTGGTTGCTGGCCCCACACACACGTGTGGAGGTGTCCAGAGCTCTGGCTGTAGGCACCGAGCACACAGAGCAGACATGCAGACTTCATGCAGGTTCTGTCTTTGGAAGCACAACTGAGTGCCTGAGACACCACCTGACCTAGAGGTTTGACCGACAGAGGGCTGAAGACAGCAAGCTCTGAACTCACACTACCTCAGAACAAGACAAACCTCCCTCCAGGAGCCAATGGGGACAGTTCACACTGTTCTGGAGGCAGAAATGACCCTAACTTCTCCCGCCAAGGGAGCTGAAGGCATCTGGGGAGCATCACACCTCCCCTGGGAAGGGCTTGGGATCAGCTACACATTTCAACCTCTAATTTGTTTCTTTTGGCAGAAATGAACTAAAATCAGAATCCAAGTCTATTTCCAACATTTTAGAGGAAGAGGTAAAGGGAAAGGGGCCAGGTGCTGTCTCCCCTCCTTTGAGCCTCTTCCTTTTGTTCTAAAACTCAAAGCTTTTACATAAGAGGCAACTTCCACCTGCTTCTTGGTTTGGGTCAGCTCCAGCCCACAGGGAGACAAGCTCTGCCCTGGAGCAGCAGGACCCTTGCCTCCTTGCAGACTTCCTTGCATTCTACTACGTGTCAATGAAAAATAAACCATTAACAATTTTTAAGAGCTGGAAAACACATCACAAGTCTGGCTGGGCTAGAAATGTTTTCTATTTGTTAAAATGTTGAATTATCATCTTTTCTTTGCTGCCTCAGCTCCAAAAAAGCTTGAAATTGAGATGGTTCATCTGGGGAACAGAAGCCCACTAATTAGCCGCCAAACACCACATGGGGGTACCTGCCAACTTGCTCTGCCCCCAGGCTCCCATCCGAAGGGCCAGAGGGGCAGAAAGACTGAGGGGGGGGGGTGCTCCAGTCAAAGGATCAACAACAGAGTAGTGACCTTAATATGCAGGAATGCTTAGGAACTACATCCCCACAGATGAGTCATTTTTTTCAAAGCCATTTATTCCTAAATGCCCAACACTATGAGAGTGCTTAAGTAAATTTGAGAATAGCCAGTGATGGAGCACTAGGCAGCCACTTAAAACCATTTCTGTAGAGAATACGTGAAGAGAAAAGACTCATGATATGATATCAACTGAAATGCCCAGACACCAAAGCTGCATATACAGTATTTCCAATCATTTTTAAATGTTGTACTTTTTTAACATAAAAAGACTGAGAATATAGTATCACATTATTTAAAGCGTCCTAGCACACAACCTGCAGCATGTGACTGTGACTGTATAACCAGCCAGGGAAAGCTGTAGCCCCACAGACACTACGTGACACGGTGCTATATTCAAGCTCTGTGTACAACAGGTGCTTCATAGGTGTTTCTTGAAATTACTTAATAACAAATTGCTTTTACCCGACGTTTATTGAGTACCGACTGTGTACCAGGTCCCAGACGAGGCTTCTCACATGCTCATCCTACATACAAGTCCACAATGTCTCCATTTTACTGATAAAGAAGCCAAGAATCAGAGAGACAAAGTGACTTTTCCAAGTCACACAGCTAACCCTGATTTCAGCTATATACCAGAATTTTCCTATATGCCATTCCTCCCCCGCTGACTGAGACTGTACAGTCATCCTGGCAGAGGTGGCCACAGCCGTCCCCTGGGGCTGACCTCTCAGGGTCAACATCCACCTGTACTACAGCACCACATAGGGGCCTGCCATGTAAGGTGGGCATCGTTGAGCCACTTTTACAGAGGAGGAAGCAGAAGATCCAAGACGTTACCCAATCCAGCAAGGCAGGACTCGAGAACCCAGGATTACTCCAGATCCCAAGCCGCGGTCATGCACCAGCACCCCTGCCCACCCTGCCTTGCTGTGAGGACTCAGGGCCGTAGGTATGTCCTCCCCTGAGGCTGTACTTCCCCGAGGCTGTGTGGAGCACGGAGAAGTGTGTTCCCTGCTTCTGCACCAGACTCGTAGCTTCCAAAGACAGGCCTGACTTGTAATGATTACGGTAGATCTTCCCAGAGATGCCCAAGTCCAAAACGTGTTTGGCTCATTGGACATTAGGCCTGTGGGGATGAAGAGAAGCTTAACCAAGGTAGGGGTGTGTGGGTGCCCCCCAACCAAGCAATGCCCCCCAGGTGTGTACCTGCACACATGCATGCACCTGTGCTCCATTCATGGTCTCCGCCACGGGCCTGAACTCCTGGGAGGGAAGAGACCATGTTACTTACCCAAAGTCTTCATTTCCTGAACTAAGATCTGCATGTTGTGCATGCAATCTGGGAGATCATAGATTTAGAAATGTTTTCTATCGGATAAGGTCAACTTTTCTTTATTTCATGGAGAGGCTCCAAACTTGGCTGATATTCAGCCTCAGCCTAATCCTCCAGCTCCAGAATGGCCATCCTAACCAGACGCTTACTAATGGACTCCACACAGGAAGGAGGCCTTCCTTGGTGCTGCTCTCTGCCCCCACCGCACCCCGACTCTCCCGTGCTTCCCATACCAGTGGTTTAAGGTTGCAGCAATTTACAAAGATGCTCCCCAGACATTTCAGAAAAGCACCTGTGGCTGCCCGCAGTGGGCCATTCATTCACTGACCCATTCACCCTATGCGTGTTTACTGCGCACATAGCCGTGGCCAGGCCCTGTGCCGAGTACTCGTGCAATACCAAGGATTCCTCACCTCCTCCAACCCCCAACCCCCCACCCCGCCTGCTAAGCCTGAATCCCACCAGGCAGATGAAGGGGCAGGTGAGCAGGGCCTGGAGAAGCTGGGCTGGGATGGTCAGAGATGGCTAAGAAGCCCAGTGGAGAGAGAAGGCCTATAGGCAGCCCTTAGGTGACCAGGCGTGATGTGTACCAGAGGAGGGGCTCCTGACCGTCCATCCCGAATGTGAGATAGGGATGCAGACAGCACCTCTCCCTAGACAAGTTCCTGCTCCACTCACTGCCCCACTGAGCCTGCAGTGCGTGAGGCATATTCTCAGCACAGAGTGAGGCTAAGTGGCCACCCTCCTCTCTGGCCCAAATGCCGGCAGGGACACCATGAGAGCTACCTGACAGGGGCCAGGAGCAGGGCCCTGACCTATGCCCATGGGAAGATAGCCACTCACCCCTTCCCCAGTCTCTGGGTGCTG